AGAGAGGGAGAGAGAGAGAGGAGGACAGGCTCTATACCTGGATGTGACAACTTCCATAACAAAGAATTTACCACCTCTACCCACATTACAGCAGGATTCACAGTGTGTAAAGATAAGGTTCGTTGACAAATGAGTGGGTGAAGAAAATGCAATACACATATGCAATAAGAGACTAGTATTCGGCCTTGAAATAAATGCAATCTTGTTATTTGGGGCGATGGAGACGGAACTGCAGGGCATCACAATGAGTGATAAGCCAGATAGAGAGACAAACACTATATTCTTGGTGGCAGGTTACATAAAATGATCTCACAGAAGAAGAGAGACTAGTGGAATTAGAGGCTAGGAAAGTAGAAAGGGGTAGAGGGAAAAAAAAAGGTTAGTATGTAGCAAAATGCAATTAGAGGAAGAATTGGGTCTAGTTTTTTTCAGAACAATAGTGTAACCATCATCTACAATGATTTATTTTTATTTTATTTTATTTTTTATTCTCTGCAAGAAGTTTATTAGGAGGGAGGGGGAATGGGGGAGCAGGACATGGTCGGGAGAGAGAAAGGGAAAGGAGGGGTGCCCCAAGAGAGAGAGGGAGAGAGAGAAAGAGAGAGAGAGAGAGAAAGAGAGTGTAAGAGCATAAGAGAGAGAAAATGTAAGAGAGCTACAATGATTTATTATATACTTCAAAACAACTGGGACAGAAGTATTCCAAACACAAGCAAATGGCTAATGTTGGAAAGGAGGAAATAGTAATTATATATCATATACACATAGGAATTGCCATACTGCACCCTCCAAAATATTCACAAACACTATGCCTTAATTAGAAATTTCAAGAAAGAATAATTTAGTCCCAAATAATAATTTGGTTAAGGGAATGCTGAGAAACTGCTGTTAGCCTCTTTTCTGGCATGACAAGGATCTAATCCTTTGTGCCTTCTCCCTGCCCCAGACAGCACAATCAGCATCCCTCAAGCAGAGGATGGTGAGAAGTGAGTCCTTTCTCTAGGTCACTTTGTACACATGACAGAGAAAGCCTCTCTTAGCCTCTGACCTGTAGACTGAGTTCAAGCACAGGTGGAACATATTATAGCAACCCCTCAACATTTGCTATTAAAAGAAAGAGAAGCTGGCTTTAAACTGGGGCGTATGCCCACCAGCCGCTGGACTCAACACTTCTAAAGTATGATTTATCCTCCAGAACGGCTCTTCCTTATGTTTAGTGAGTCAGGGTACCCTCCCCCTCACCCCTATCATTGCCTGGGCTCAGAATAAGGAATAGATTCAAAGACAGAGTTAGAATATGGAGCCTGGAACCTAGCCGGGGGTCCTGCTGATTCTAAACACAACCTCACCCATTTCACACCTCCCCCTTTTTTATTTAAGGAAAGCTATGCTGAAGGTAAAGTAGAGAGCCGAAAACAAGTCCTAAATAATCTTTGCTCCTTTTAATTAAAAGGATAGCTTTTTATACCCCATAAAACAATCAGAATACAGCATGGAAAGTCTATATTAGTATACGGGGGTGTGGGTATGTTGGTCATAATAGGGCTTTTTTTATAGTTCTCAAGGCACATTTATTATCCATTATCTCATTTGATCTCCTCAACCGTCCTGAGAGGCTGTTGGAGGACAAATGTCTACATTTTCTATTTGAAAAGCTGGGCTTGGAAGGGAATAGACTTGGCCAAAGGCCTTGGCTAGCCTAGTCTACCCAAAGTGCCTCCCCATGGCTGCTGTCAGGGTCTGGGAGGCTCCTCACAAGCCTGGGGGAGGTCTGGTGAACTTTGACTCACCAAGGGTTAAGCCACATAAACTTTTTTTTTTTTTTTTTTTTTTTTTTTTTACGAGTGGTAACCATTTAATGGGCCCTGTAAAAAGGGCTCCTCACCATGCTGCCTGCTTTCCCCTGGAAAGGGGGGTGCCAGCAGGGAGGAGGGCTTGGGAGCAAGGTACAGAGTGGGAGATGAGCAGCTGAGACCCTGTAGTCCCAAAGGCTTCTCTGTGAGTTGGGAATAGTTATGGAAGTTTCCAGGAGATTGTGTTGAGAAATGACATCTGCCCCAAGGAAAGGAGCCTGGCCTGAAGCCAAGATCTGGCACTTACCAATTTTTTAAAAAAAAAATATTCTTGTGCTTCTTCTTACTATTAAATTTTTCTTAGATTTGATTTTCATTTGTTTTAAGCATGAAAGTGCTCTGCCTATGTGTATGTATGGGCACCTGTGTGTGCCTGGGGCCTGAGGAGGTGAGAAAAGCACACAGATCCCTTCAGTCAGGAGTTAGGGGTACTGCAATCCACCATGTGGGTGCTGGTAACTGAATCTGGGTCCTCTGCAGGAGCAAAAGGTGCTCTTGACCACTGAGCCACCTCTTTAGCCTCAGTTCTTGTTATGAACTTCAAAGATCTTCACCTTATACAGTGTCAGGTGATCCATCTCAGGCTTTGAGTTTGGTGACATACCCATTGTACAGTTGGGGAAAGTGAGGCTCAGGAAGTTTTGGGCCAAACAGATACAGAGCTCAGCATCCTCTACAGTGTACAGAGGACCTAGAGTTTCAGTTCCCTCCTCAACTCAGGAGAGGGTGGGGCGGGGGGGGCAGACCCTATACTACCTGCCTTTTCTCAGGAAGCAGAGAACAAAGGCCTGACCTGGCTGAGATGGAGGCTCCTACTGGATCCAGCAGGTCTTGTCCCCACCGACCTAGCACTTACAATCAGCCCTGCAGGCAAGTTCTGGGAACCGTGGCAGGAGGCCTATCTTCGCCTGTCCTGTGAGCATGCAGGGCTGCTCTCTGCAGGAGGGTTGGGCTCTGAGCTGCAGCCCTCTCGGGGTTAAAAAGTAACCTTTCCACTGCTTGTGGGTGAGCAAATGCTGCCAAGGAAGAAACCCAGCCTTGAGCAAACAAGAGCCAGGGCTGGGCCCCGTCTCTCCCCAGCTGCCTTCTGGGTCTCTCAGGCTTTCTTCTGCCTTGAAGTCCCCCGATGGATGAATTGGCTTGTGGGGCTTGTTCTAAAAAGCCAGATGGGGAAACGTCTCCATTACTGTGTGAAAGGAAGGTTTGTTCTGGTTAGTGTTCTTTTTCTCAAGGTGAGAATGAAGAAGTTTCTAGAAGGGGTCTTATGAAGGAGATTTTTAGATTGAGAAATACAGGCTCAGAGCTGGCTTGAGTCCAGGTAACCCACAGAGGTAGCCGCTTTCCTCACGGTGGTTTTTCTTAATTGTGTCCAACTTTGTGCCAAATGCTACAAGTATGGAACTGTGACTGACCTCTAACCAGTGTGCGTGCAAGGTGGGATCGCCTGCAGCTTTACACAGGGGGGAACGAGGGCTAAGAGATGTTAAGTAGCTATTGTGAGTTACCACCCACTCTACCAAGTGGGAGAACTTGGAGGAACCCCAGCTCTCCCGGCTTCAGAGCTCTCATGTAGACACCAGGACGGAGACCCCAGCTCTCCTGTGCTCCCTCCCAACACCCCTTCCACTAACTGAACTGTCTTTGTTGTTTCTAGTCTAGCTTTCTTTCTTCACTTTCCACCTGTGCTGGGTGTGGGCCTGCATGTTCGCCAGGCACCAGTGGTGACGAGGTCAACAACCATAAGTGGTGTCTAGCGCAGTTCCACCTAAGCGCCGCTCTGCGCTCAGTACCAATAGGCAGTATATTCAGCTCTTCATCAGGGTGAGAAATATTTGCTGAATAAGTGAATGTGTGAATGTATTTATATGTCTTTCCTCTCAGGTTCTACATAGAGCCAATCAGTTAGGAGTGGTGTGTGTGTGTGAAGCTCCAGTTAGGAGTGGGGTGTGTGTGTATATATGTGTGTGTGTGTGTGTGTGAGAGAGAGAGAGAGAGAGAGAGAGAAAGAGAGAGAGAGAAAGATTACTCTGAAAGCACCAATCTGTTGACATGCGTGACACCTGAGGATGCAAAATTTTCTTCAAATAGGACAAAAAAATTTTCTCATGATCTGTGACTATCCACCCTTTAGCATTTCATAAAGAGCGTTGCTTCCCCACCTTTTGGCTGAGATCAAGTGTGAGGAAGGAGGAACGTTTAAAGCCTCACTAGGCTTCAGAAAAAATCTTGCCCCACCCCCCCATTCCCTGCCCCAGTGACTGCGCACACTCCTGGGCTCCGACCTGCAGTGTGGAGGTCGTCCAGTTTGGAGGCAGGCACATCGTAAATGTTAGGGAATTTTTCTGAGACGTAAAATTTTTACATTGTTTTTACAATGTTCCAGATGGGCCCTGGGTGAGAGCTGTTCTTCTGGGTCCCAGGACTGAGAAGCCAAGGAACTCGTTTTGAGAATGTTCTCAAAACCTGCTAGATCTTCCTGGTCTCTATCAGAAGAGAAGCTAGCTATAACATCTTAGCAGAACATAAAAATTTTAGTTTTCTGTACTAGCAAGATGAAGTGTCTGTCACAGAAATCAAAGGATTCCTAATCTTGGCCCAAAGCCAGAAAGCTTAAGGAGCTCTGCCTAGATATGACGGAGTCTCTCAGAGGACCGGTTGACCCCAAGGAGGACTTGGCAATGAGGAAACCTTCCTCTCCCCCAAGTGTGGTGACCACTTGTGTGGGGAACTCACAGTGCTGTCTCACATAGGGGCTGGGTCTGAGATTTCACTGATTGAAATTCCACTTCAAATAAAATCTCTCTGGTATTTTCACTTTTGTGAAGCGCTTGGATGCTGGCCAGGCTTGCAGTGCAAGCAGGTATTGTGTTTTCCTCTCTGCTTCGTTTCTGATCAGAGATTATTCATTTATGAATGGGTGGCTGTAAAAACTTGCCTCATGCATATGAAAATTTAACCTGGAAAATTTTAATTGCCATGAGTTTTGCTTTTACTGAAAGGGCTGTGGCAATGGGTGGAAGGAGACGGTCCTTTTCTCCTTTCTCTCTCTTTGTCTGTCTTTCTTTCCTAAATGAATTCCATGATCCGTACTCTCCAGTGACATTTGTCTAAGAGGCGCTGATGAAATGAATGCTTGATCCCTTTCAGATCATGATTCTGGAAGGAAGTGGTGTAATGAATCTCAACCCAGCCAACAACCTCCTTCACCAGCAGCCAACCTGGACGGACAGCTACCCCACGTGCAATGGTAAGGCCCTGAAGTTGGTGGCACGGCTCATGCCCCTATCCTATCCTAGTCTGACTTTTTTTTTCCAACTTGATGCTTGGAAAACAGAGGTTTGAGTCAGTAGGTGACATGGAAGCTAGGGAAAATTTTCTCTCTCTCCTGGAAATTAAACTCAGTGCTTTGCTAATTTTGCTAATCATAGGCTGTGCTTTTTTTTTTTTCTTCTTCTTTTTTTTTACTATGAGGAAACATTTAATACTGAAGGTCTCTGTAGCTTCCAGGGCCCTATGCCAAAGCCCATTGCCTTCCAAAGTGTGAAGATCTGGGTTGGCAATAAAGGTGGTAGATGAGATGTCCCAAGAGAAACATGGCTCCTTGTTGAAGTTTTCAATATCGTTTCATTGGAATATCAAGATAGGATTAGGGAGGTGAGTGGGTACATGAGTATTACATGTGTATTTAACACACAACACACACACAGGTTAAAGAAAAAAGAATTATAATGGTTTACATTTTCCGGCTTGTTTACCATCACTTCCCAGTTTAAGGAAGAGATTGGCCTAGGAACCAGGAGCTATCTTTTAGTGCTTTGCTCTGAACAGACTTAAAGTAGGAGGATCTGGTGACAGGACTTGTGGGTAATGTTTGATCTAGTCTGTGGCTCACAGTGAAGGCTGAATCAGGGGCCCTGTGCTTTCTCTGAAGGCATTCAGCACAGCCAGGCTGCTGAGTGTCCAATAGAGCTGGGTTAAGGATCCCTGGGACTCAGTGCACCCCTCACCTGCTGCTAGTCCCCCCCACCCCCACCCCGAGATGCAGCTGCTTGTGTTTACCTTGACACACGGATGTGTCCTGTCAGTGAGAAGTGTTTGAGAAGCAGGAGTGAGGGTAGTGGTTGAGTGACATTCTCCGCTGAGTGGCGGGTCCACGTGGTGCTCCTCTTTTAATTTGGAATCCCAGCCAAGCATGGCAGGAAACACGAACAGGTGGCTTTCCTGTTTTAGATCCCTTGTCTCCTCAAACTGCTGCCCTTTCTGCACAGTTGCATATTTTGTGGCAGACCTCGAACTGGCTGTGGGGACCTAAGGGAAAACAAAATCTTCCAAAGAGAGCAGGAAGTCTTGACATGCCCCAGGCATCATCTCTACTATTTGCTTTGGAGAAAACTGGAGCAGTAGGCTTAGCAGGGAGTAGGGTTCAGATGTCACTTGTATTTCTTTAGCTCTGGAGGTCCCAAAGAAGACCCTGGTCTTTCTTAAGACTGAGGGGAAGGGGAAAGTCAGCTGAATGGCCAAGAACAGGACCCACTGGGTTTTCAGTTTCCCTGAGTGAGGGATTCTGACGATTCTCTGCCTAAGAAGGAAGGCATCCTCTCCCAGCCAACTTCAGGCAAGTTCCTGGCTCTCCTCTCCCAGGCATGAACAGAAGATCAGAAATTTCCTGTAATCAGGTTCACACTGAGTGCACAGCGGACAGGATCCCAAACCTGCCACATAGAGCAATGGGATTATTTTAAGAATAGAGATCACCATCAACAACCTAGTTCTCATTCTTAAACAATGTTACGTGTGAGATACATTAGTAATTAAAATAGTAATAGACACGGCAACATCTTTTATAAGCTTTGTACTTTGGGAAGAATTTCTATATATCTCAAGTTTTAGACTACATTTTTTCCATTCCTTATTCCCTTTCCCTTGTTGCTCTGCCTTGTAGGAGAGGCTGTAGGGATACATTTATTTGGCTGTAAGATAGGAACAATAAAGCTCATGCTGTGAGTGGCAGGTATCAACGGCAATCACCTCGATATTCTGAGTGATCTTGACTTCTTTTCTCTTCTCTTTCTTTCTTTCTTTCTTTCTTTCTTTCTTTCTTTCTTTCTTTCTTTCTTTCTTTCTTTCTTTCTTTCCCAGCTGGCCTCACAGTCACAAAGATCCACCTGCCTCTCCCTCCTGAGTTCTGGGATTAAAGGCGTGCACCACCACTGCCTGGCTCTTATTTTGACTTCTTGCTCTTATTGCTTCTGAGGTCTGGAAGCAAAGGCTCGATTCTGAAGGGGGAGAAGAGTGAGATTGCCTAAGATCCTCCCTGCTTCCCATACTTCCTCTGGTAGGATAGAGTGTTAGCCCCTAGGCATTATGGGAATGGAGTCCTGAATCATCCTGTCACTATATATAATCTAGCAGCAACAGCATTGCAAAGCTTGCTAGGAATGTAGAAATTCAGGCCTCAGCCCGTACCTACTGGACTGGGTTCTGCATTAAGCAGTAGTCCCTGGTGAGTGCACCTGCACTCAAGTTTTAATTACATAGCCAGCATGATTTTGAAGGGACAGTTAGGGATATTTTTTCTTGTAAATACATTTTCCTCACAGACCATGGCTTGGCTGTGGTTTCCGGAAAATGAAGTAGCTGTGGCCACTCATAGGAGATCCACATTTGGGCCAGTTCTGTAAAGTTCTCTTAAGTGAGCACTAGGAAGCCATGAACATAGAACATTAACAGATAGCACATTCAGTAATTTACCCACTGAAATGTACTTCACATCTTCATCCAAAATTACCTCACAATACAGATCTATATTCCTGCATTATTTGCTCTTCAGCTGAAATCAAATCATATTGACTATGTAGTGAGCTTCCGGATGGCCCCAAAGGACTTTTTATGGATATATGAAGATGCGTAAGACCTGAGTCCATGGCCTTGAACATACAGTCTACAAAGGAAAATGAGCCAGGACTTAAAGATCTATAAAGATAAGCAGAACATAACAGGTGCCGTTGAGAGAAATCCTAAGCCTGATTCCTGGAAAACAGTGGTGGCTCTGAGTTCAAAAGAAAGAGCTAGGAGTCCAGCAGCAGCAAAGGGTAGAACAGGAAGGGGCCTGGGGACAAACAGCACAGACAAAAACACAAAGGTCACTTCAAAAGCAGCTCTCAAAGCGCTTCAGTGCCCGGAGTGCCAGTTTCATATCTTATTTCAGAGAACAGTGGGAAGCTGATGAAGGAGAACACGTGCTGGGACAGCTGTAACCGCCAGTCAGGGATGAGGAGACATCTCACAATCAGTAAACGGATTATGTCACTTCAGGGAAGAGCAAAGCCATCAGAGAAAAGGGAGCTAAATTTAAGGCCCTATTTTTTTGTTTGTTTGTTTGTTTTGTTTTTTTTCCAAGACAGGGTTTCTCTATGTAGTCCTGGCTGTCCTGGACTCACTTTGTAGACCAGGCTGGCTTTGAACTCACAGAGATCCACCTGCCTCTGCCTCCTCTAAGTGCTGGGATTACAGGCATGTGTCACTGTGCCCAGCTTTAAGGCCCCCGTTTTGGGGTGAAAATGGTCTGTGTTTGCTGAACATCAGCTTTGGCTCTGTGTCTCTGTCTCTGTCCCTGTCTCTCTCTTTCTATGTGTTTAAGAGAGAGAGAGAAAAAAAGAGGGAAGTAGGAGAAAGAACAGCGCTCAGCCCTCTGCACCCCAGGGTTTCACAGACTCAACTAAAGCCTAATTAAAAAATGCATCTGGGAGCTGAAGAGATTGGCCTATGGCTCAAGTGCTTGCTGGGCAAGTATAAGCATCTGAGCACAGCATCCCTGATACCTGTGTAAGAGCCAGGCAGATTCGTTGGATCACATCTGTAACTCCAGCACTGGGAAGGCAGCAAGTGGATCCCTGCATCTCCCTGGCCAACTAGTCTAGCCAAACCAGTGAGCTCCTGGTTCAGTGAAGGAGACCTTGGCTCAAAAAAATACAATGGAGGGCTACCCTAAACACCAGACATTCTGGCCTCCATGCCCCCACTCAATACACATGTGCATACACTCGCATGTATAAAAACACGTGTACGCACACATTTGTATTTGCATCTGTACTGAGCAAATGCAAATTTTTTTCTGGTCATCATTTTCCAAACAATCCAGCTTTAACTATGTACACAGCTTTGGCATCGTTGTGGGGATTATAGTTAATCTAGAGCTAACTTAAAATACAGGGGAAGATGTACAGGTTATGTACAGATATGACATACTACAGAAGAGATGTTTTTGGCATTCATGAAGTGTTCTGGCAAGGCGCATGTATTTACACATGTACCATCAGCTAGTAAGTAGGCGAAACTATAACAAACCGTTTCACTTTGGCACTTCTTTGTGGGTGGGGTGGCGAGCAAGCTCAGGGTATTTCAAGTGTCATGTAGTGTCTAGTATCTAGAGATGGAAGTCACACCAGAACGTCCACGAAGAAGCCCTGCCTCAACTCGTAAAACCCCCGCATGCTAGGAGCCTAATATCCAGAGTACATTCTGTATTTAGCTCACAGGGCAGGGGCTGTGGTTATGGTTCCCATGGTATTACCCAGAGCCATGTCTCTATGTCTCTTGTGCCCAGGGACAAGCAGGGTCCACTTATAGGGCCACCCACTGTTTTTCAGTTTCCGGTGGTTTTTTTGGAGGCCAGTGGCATGAAATCCACCCTCAGTACTGGACCAAATACCAGGTGTGGGAATGGCTACAGCACCTCCTGGACACCAACCAGCTGGATGCCAGCTGCATCCCTTTCCAGGAGTTCGATGTCAGCGGAGAGCACCTGTGCAGCATGAGCCTGCAGGAGTTCACGAGGGCGGCAGGCTCTGCCGGGCAGCTGCTCTACAGCAACCTGCAGCATCTCAAATGGAATGGTGAGTGGTGCCTGGGAAGGGCAGGGGGGCTCCAGGGCTGGCTGAACTTCTTGTCAGAAGTGACACTCTCGAACTGCCACTTCCCAGGACCGGGAAGGAGCGGGGCGAAGAGAGGATAGTACAAAACCCAGGTGTGATATTGTCCAATCCCTTAGAACCACTTAGGGAGCTCCTCCTGTGGCTGCCTTCCTTTCTAGAGAGATGGAACTGGCCTAGCAGCCACAGGATACTCGTCACAGAAAGACAAGCTTTTCCTTCATATTAGAAGGAAAAAAAAAAGATTCATTTGTGTTTCATTTTATTTGAGGCATATGAGTGTTCTGCCTGTGCACTTATCTGTTCCATGTGCGTGCATGGTGCTCCTGGAGAAGTCAGAAGAGGGTGTCGGGTCCTCTGGAAATGGAGTTATGGATAGTTGTGAGCCAACATGGGGTGGTGGGTTAGCCTCCCGCGTTCTAGTATTGCAGGGATGCGCCCGCATACCCAATCCAGACCCAGGCTCTTAAAATGGGAGCTCAGTATATTTAAGAAGGCAAGCGAAACTAGATCTGGGTATCTGGAGGGGAGAAGGCTAGCCCCGCCCCTCCTGTGTTCCTTGAATGACATATAACCGAGGCTGCAGAGGTGGCTCAGCGTTTAAGAGCATGCAGTGTTCTTGGAGAGGGCTTCCGTTGGTCCCCAGCACCCATGTTAGAGCGCGTACAGTCTCCTGTAATTTCAGTTTCAGGGGCTCCAATACCTGTGGCAATCCATACCTCCACACAGAGGCACACGCGTAATTAAAAACAATAAAAATCAATATTTAAAAATAGATCCATGATTAAAACGCCTTTGAAAACAGAATGAACGGGCCAGATACACACGGGCTGTTTCCGCAGCGATTTCTCAAATCGTTGCTAAAACTTCAGGGTTCTCTCCTCAGGTCTCGCTTCACACACAGAGGCCACCTTGCAAATTGTCCATGGTGACAGTTTACACACACACACACACACACACACACACACACACACACACACGCACACACACACACACAGAGGAGGGCCTGATGACCCACTGGAAAGTGCATTTCTGTCTCAACAGCGCTTGTGTTTGACAAGTAACTAGGGCTCAGCAAATGTGAGCTCAAGAGCTTGTGGACAGCTGTCATCAGCAGGGAGTGTGGTGGTGACGCCGGCAGCCATCATGCCATTTCAGATGACCTCATCTGGCACCCTGGCATTCTCTTCTTTCTACTCACCTCATGGTGGTGACTACTCGTTTTTGTTTTTAACTAGAATAAAACAAAACAAAGCTCTATGATTTAAACAACCCTTAGGAGTCTTTGCAAAGAGCAGACTTATAAGGAGTTAAAAGTACCTCCTTTAATTATGTCCAGTCCTGTAAAGCTTTGCTCTGACTGAAACCTGAGGGAGGCAGGCAGGCTTGGGAGGTGTGGTGGCCATCTTTGACCTTCCATCACTTATTTGGTCTCCCTGTTCGCATTTGTGAGTACCAAATGGTAGGAGTTTCCACTCTGGGCTTGTTTACCTTGAATTTCTATACATACTCCATTAGTTTACATGTGTTGTGAATATATTTAAACTGTGAATTGAGTCATCAGATAATCATATGGCAAAATATTGTACCCATTTTATAGATGAGAAAACTGAAGGTCAGAAATATGAACTATTGGTAATCTCTGTAGGAAAGAAATCAGTATAGACTCATTTGCATATGTGCTTTTATACAAATCACCAAGTAGAATTGCAAACAAGGATGTAACACGTGACATGAACCACTTGTATGAGTGCTGAAGGCATAGGTAAAGGGGCACCCATAGTATTTTATTTAGATGTGTCTCATAGATGAATCTAATAAAGATGGGATTGATTGAATTTAAGATCAAAGCCTTATTTGCTAGTGAAGTTAAAATGACACTTTTCACTTTCATTTCATATGATGTCTTAGTGTGAGAAAGTACCATAGAGGTCATGTAAGCAGCTCTATCCAGTTTAATCCCCTGAATTTACACAGGAGGAGACTGAGACTAGAATGGCAAATGCCTTGCAGCTCCTGGTATTGGAGAAGGTGGCCTTCCGGTTTGACGTTTCTTTACTTCTGCCACCAAATGATCCTACTCATGCAGGTGCCCACTCCTGATAGTTCTCTGGGGTCTGAGATGGTCCCAGGCTTTGCTGTGCTGAGGCTCACTGGTGACGCTCCTGCTTCAAACCAGTAATGGAACAAGATGGCAGATGCTCTTCAAAGGAGCCAGCTCTGTCCTTACTGAAGTGTCGGGTTTTGACTCCCTCTGACTTTGCCATCTGTCCTTCACAGGCCAGTGCAGCAGTGACCTTTTCCAGTCCACACACAATGTCATTGTCAAGACTGAACAAACTGGTGAGTGGTGAGAGGCAGAAGGAGCCAACTTGGCTAGGAAAAGCTCTGGGGAGAATAAGGGGGGGGGGAGAACAAGAGACCATGGGAGAAGAGTTGGCAGGGAACCCATGGAGGTCACTTCTCTGCCTACAATGGGCCACCCTGCCATAATCGTCCTTTTCGCCCTTGGGACCCGTGGCAAGGGTCCCAATTATGCCTAATGTGTAGATGAGTAGTGAGCTGTCCCTTGGACAGCACTTTGCGTCCTTCTGCCAGTCAGAGCACAATCCAGATCCAGACCAGTAGCGGGGTAAATACAGACTCTAAAGGTAGGTTTCCTTCCCACAAAGTGTGAGGCTGGGTTCAGAAAAGCAAGCGGAGGAAAGACGAGTCTTTGTTCTTCCACCTCCTTGGGAATGAGCTTTACTGTGAGGGAGCTGCTGCTGCAGGTAGAATAGTCTCTGGGCCCTAGGGCACTTCCAGAAGGATGTTTAAAGATGGCGGTAGAGCCCAACCCCTATCTTGGGGTTATTTCTACTTGAAAGATTCTACCCTGGGCTCTGAGCAAAGTCTATAGTTTCATAATATCTACATTTGTTCTTGGTTCTTTTTTTCCCCCTGTGCCCCAAACTTCATGGGCACAAAAACAAGACAAAACAAAACTATGTAGGTATCACTGCTCCTGGGTCACTCCCTGTGTTCACATCAGATAAATTATAGGTCATGTGGGCTGACAAATTTTGCCCTAGGTCTTCCTGAGGATTGCGTGCTAGTCACCAAGGACAGAATTTGACCTAGGGGTGATTTTTGAGTCACTTGGCACCAAAATTAGCCCATGTGGTTATTTAATCTTTTATAAGGGCCCTGGCCTACCATAATTAAAGAAAAAAAAATTAGTTGAACATGTTAATTAGTCCTTTCTAGGCCTGTCCTTCAGCTTGGCTACTTGGATCGTAGACCTACCTGATCTCTGGAGACAGATCAGGATTTGGCTTAGAGAATGGCCTTGACTTTATGCACAACCCCACTGAAGGGGCCAGAGTGATATTGGAGAGGCCCCAAAATATCTGATAATCCTCCTTGGCCATCTGGACATTCTTGTGTTGCCAGTTCAGAAATGTTGAGCTTGAGGGTGGAGAAGATCTACCCTGGGAAGAGGGGAGAAGAGGCTCACTAAGGGGGCCGCCACCCCCAAACCTCTTTGGAGGTTGTTTTTAGAAACAACAACAGATGTGCAAGGTGACCCAACCAGGACGGAGGGTGTAACCCCAAGATATTGGACTTGGGGTGTCCAAACACGTATCTGTGATTTCAAATACCAGCTAAATCCCCATGTCGTAAACTGGAGGACTTAGCCAGTGAGTCAGGCTTTATTCCATTTATGCTATAAAAACAAAACAGAGCTCAGCCAGTGGCTTGTCATCCCGGCCTTCAGTGTGGAATCTGGGTATCAGGGAAGCCAGAGCAGCCCAGACTGGGGGGCCAAGAGCCTGACACCAGGAAGAAGATGAGAGCATCCAGCCTCGGCCAGCCTGAAAAGAGAATGCTTGTGTTGGAAGCTGGCCTAGACCTGGCGATTGTGTGGGAGTTGGGCTTAGTTGAGGTAGGTGGAAGGGAGTTTCCTTCTGATCTGCAATCTGAAGAGTGTGTCTCACTCCAACTAACCCTTGACCGTAAAAGAGAAGGAGCATGGAGTGAGTACGATTTCTGCTTCATCCAGAGATGAAGCAAAATCCTACCCATAAAAGTTATTTCTGTAATTTGGTAAAATTTTTTCCCTTCTCCTCAGTTTTGAGAATTTTATGTCACCCCTTAAGTTACTCAGAGGAGACGTAGATGGCAGCGGCTGTCACTCAACTTAAGGGGAGCTACTCTGGATTTCAGCAGTGAAGGAATTGTGAGAAAACTGGCCAAGGTTTTTGTTTGTTTCTGAAAGAAACACCTTTAGTTCTCCACTGCCACCAGAAAGAAGAATGCTTATTAATTCCTTATTAGACATTTATTCATCGCCAACAAAGCTTTCCCTCCACTCCAGAGTTAAATTGTCCTGGTAATTTTAATAGTAGGATGTCAAGGGAGGTCAGCCAGGCTGGAGAAATTTCTAGAAAAATGGAATATTGGTCTAGGATAGGATTCTTTAGCCTGAGATGTGATGAATGTATATCACAAGGGTAATGTCACAACAAAGCTATTCTCATGATGCTGGGAGAAAAATGGGGTGACATTGCTATACAACAGGACATAGTTGAAGCAGAGTTGAACTCCTTCTCTTGGCTGCCTCTTCCTTTCTCTATGCCTCTTAGATGAGCAGACTCCTAGAATGAGAATTCTTCAATCCAGGCATAATAATTCTTGACCTTCCCCATTCTCCGTTCCTTGTAGATCCTTCCATCATGAACACTTGGAAAGAAGAAAACTATCTCTACGATCCCAGCTATGGTAGCACAGTAGGTAACTACCTCCCTGACTCTGAAAGCCCTTTACATGTTTGCTCTGCTCCACGGTCGTATCATCAGGAGGGTCTCTCAATGTCCCTTCTCCTTTTTTATTTCCTGCAGACCTGTTGGACAGTAAAACTTTCTGCCGGGCCCAGATCTCCATGACAACCTCCAGTCACCTTCCAGTTGGTAAGTTGTCTGCACATGGGCTGGCTTTGCTTCTGCCTGTGCTTTCCAATTATCAACAAAACTTACTGCCACACTGCATTTCTACTTCACTAGAGTCTTTCTTATTAAAAAGCTAGGGAATAAAGTGGATTGTCATCTGTCTGAGTAGGTGTACTTCCCAGCCAGTATGTATACACCAAAGGTTATCAGCTCACTCACATCCCTTAGAAGTGTTCTCCCATGTCACCCTGTGTCACTAGTCTCATGAGACAATGAAAGTTCCTTGCATTTCTCTCTCTCTCTCTCTCTTTTTTTTTTTTTAACACAGATTTGCTATGGAGATAAACCTGGTAAATTTATTTGTATTTATTGGGGAGAAGGCTAGATTTAATTTTCAATTGCATCCCCAACATACATTTTGAACTATGTTTGACTTTAGAGAACAATGAACTCGGAATACCTGTGGACCTGTGGGCATGAGCTGCAGATACAGTGATTTAGTATTTCGGACAACAGCCTTGTAGTCATAACTCCCCTCCCCTTCCTGTCCCTGGTTTTGAAGCCTACCCTTGATGGCTCATCAGTACTTTGTAATCAGAGCATCTGCCCCGTGTTGGGTTATGTTCACATCAGTTACATTGGTCATGCTTGGATACAACGAGGGGCCATCTGTGATGTCTTGTCAAGGGTTGTAGCAAGGTTGGCATATTGGAGGTTTGGGTCTGGGAGAGGGCTTTCAGATTATAGGTGTGCTATAGCACACCTATAAGAATTAGCTGAACAAAAGATGTTGTGTTGTTTATTGACCTGGGCATTTCTGGGCCTCTTTGAGTCCGTGCAGCTGAGAAATCATTTGTACTAGAAGTGTTCTTCTCCAGAAACTGACCTTGGGGAAGTGATGGAACTGGAAATTAGCAGGGTCTGTGTAAAAGACAGCATGGACTTAAACAACAACCCACCCTCTTCTGTTTTGGTTGAATGTGTGGTTGTGTAAATTGTACTGAGGAGATGTTTCATTTGAAGTTTTGTTTGGGTCAAACCCCTTGAATGAGGGAACTGGAAGCTAGTCAAGCACTTTTGGAATTCTGACTGAGATTCCAAGCAGCCCCCGCCCCCAAATGCCCCAAACAACTCTTTTTTGTGTATCCCTTGAAATGATTTGTTTAAACCTGGAAAGAAGGGCAGAGTCAGAAGAGTAGCTGTGTGTCTGCTGCTATGGCGGAACAGTCCATCTGGGTAATGGTTGTGGCAATTGTTGTCACCTAGAGAAGACTAGCAGCTTCAGGGCTGAGGACAGCACCCTAGTCACCCCATAGTTTCCACCCCAACTTCCTGTGGTGTCACCTTCCCTGTCTTTCCTGTTGGGTCTTTAACATGTGGCAAAAGATGTCAAGTAAGGATAAAGTTGAACTAATTGCTTCCAGAGCCTCCAGGGTTTTTAGGTTCCCCAGACTCCTAGGAAGTCACAGCCTTGTCATCTCACCTCCAGGCCTACCTTCCACTTTCTGTGCCTTCCATGTTGTAGAATCTCAGAGCAGCAGGGAGCTCAAGGCAGCAGCTTACCCCTGCCTGCTGTAACAGCAGGGAGCTGCTATCTTCTGCATCCACCTGTTATAGTTTTAGATGGCCTTTAAAATGAACTTTATGAATCTGCCTTCCCACTGCCTGCCTAACCCCCCAGTCTCCTGCTCCTCATTTTCATCCTGCTATAGTAAAAGGCTAGTAAATGAGATGAATAATGCAAGCCTTTTATCAGAGTTAATTTCTTTCTTTTCTTCTTCTTTTTTTAATCAACTCATTGTCTGCAGTTGGTAGATTCTTTGGAATTTTAAATCTGGTAGGACATTAATCTGGTAGGATTGTATATGAGTCACCTCCTTCCAGAATAGTTTAGTCTCTACTGGATGGGATCAGAATGCCCCAAAAGAACTCTGCCAACTGCCCTCTCTTGTCATTTCAAGTTCCTATAAAATAGGGTGCAGTTAAACACCTCTCTGTTTTCATGCAAGTTCAAGCTGAGCTAAGCTGAAGCTCCGTGTCAACTGATGGTTTCCTGGGTAGTGCGGGTGGAGAAGCCAGCTTTGTTTTGATGTTTCTTTTTGTTTTTCTTTCTTTTCTTTGTCTTTTTTTTTTTTCTTCATCTGTCCCTTCCAGAAAATGGCTGCCACCAGCGTTCTGGTATGCTTGATAGTCCTGAAGCCAGTCATGCCAACTCAGGCTTGATGTGTTTATCTACTGACTTGCTGAGCCTCAAGCTAGGGTGGCACGGTCTATTAGAACACCGAAATTTGTATATCCCGTAAAGAAATGGCTCACAGCTGACTCATATGCAAATACATCTAATCTCTGCCTTCTTGCGAAGCAGCTAGGCTGAGGCCATAGGTTCTCACTTACACTGTAAATTTAGGGCTGTTACTGCTTCCACCTGGACCTCACAAACACCTTGACCTAAGTGTCTGGGAGAGAAACAAGAGACAGCCAGGCTGGACAGCCTCTGTCGATCTAGGTATTATTTTGAAAAAATGAAATCACTTGACCATACTGCTTACTTCAAAGGTCTGGCTTTTGTTTTGTGGCAGTGGGGAGGTCAAGGGAGCAGGAGGGAGGCAGTTGTATTAAATGAGCTCATAGATCAAAAAGCTTTGGAGCTAAGGCTGCTGGATTTTGTAGCTCCCTCTGCATGTTGGCAGGAGAAGAGAGTCTGGAAGAAACATTTATCTTTTTGCCCTGGATTACTTATTGTCCCAGATGATGATGGGAACATTTAGATTCTCTCTGTGTGTGTATGTGTGAGTGTGTTTGAAGCTTGAAATAGGTCTAGATATCTCAAAGAGAATTTCCCCAGTCTTGTAATCTAGAGTCTGTGAACCCCCTAAGTCAACCAGGGGTCCCTGAAGCAACTGACAGGATTTTATCAGTGTGACACACTTGCATTTTCTGGGGGAGAACATATAAGTTTTCATCCAATTCTTAAAGATACCATAACCCCAAAGCGATGGATTCTGTGTCAGGTTGGAGATTTCAAGCACTGAGTGAGGCCAATGTGCCAAGAAAGTTGTGTTTTTCTGAAGCCATCCCTGGCTCTGAAACCATGGCCCTGTTCCCTCCTGGATCTCATTGGAAAATGAGCTTTGCTTGTGGCCTGCTGGGTAAATGCCATTCTTTGTCTCCAGAACAACTTGGCCCTGTCAGGGTGATGTATCACTGGGAAACCGTGGTGGGTGCCAGACCTGTTTCAATGTCATCATGTCCTGGTGGGGTGTTGCAACCTTGTGAACTGCAGGGGGCCAAGAGGTGTCCTTTCCAGTTCCGTGTATTGGTCCTTCTGGATTTCAGAGAAAGCCACAAAGGGCCAGGCCCTGCTGGCATCAATGCCAGGGGAGAAATTCTTACTCAGAATGGGGAGTTTCTCTTCTGTTTAATCCCTCTTCCCATCCCAGCATAACTTTTGGAGTAACTGCTTGGAATGTGGAAGTGTGAGGAGCTCAGGGATTTGATGTGTTGGATGGCCCCCCCCACACCAGGAAGTATAGAACTAGTACATGGGAATGACTGCTTTGTTTTCTGCTGATGGACACACTGTGGAAGTGGGTTGAGTTTTGGAAAGACATTTAAGAAGTGTGTTGTGTGACCACATTGCCCCCCTTTAGGAAAGAGTTGTGATTAAAGCTTCAGGGATCTGACTGGTGCTCTTTACAGCCTTCACTACTTCCAGATCATTTCTTACATCTTCCATAGATGCAGGCTGTGGCTTAGGACAGTACCAACCTCATAGTGTTTTGGTATGGATTATGTAATAGTACCTACTTCGTATTGTTACTGTGTGGATGACATAGATAAGCCATGTAAAGTGTTTAATATGGTACCTGGCACATGGAAAGAACTCAACAATTAGGAGTAATTCTCTTAGCTATTTTATTTTACCTTGGTGCTGGGGATCAAGACTCGGGTCTTCTTCGTACATGTACTCTAACTCTGAGCCATATCTCCAGCTCTCTTAGTCACTTTAGCTGGAAATCGATGGTTTGTGGCTGAGAAATTCTTTTGAATAGTAGCCTGCCTGGACCCCCACCCTGGGCACACATTGTTAATGCATCTAGACTTGTCTCGATGGCCTCACCAGAGAACTCTAAGTTAGGAAGCTCTGCTGTAATATCACAAAAAGAGGCACACTTTGTTTAATTTCTATAAAGAATTGACTTGTGTTTAGGGACTATTTTGTATTAAAGGGTAGCTGTTGATCATGCGGTGAGATCACCAATGGTCCTTACAACACCCAAAGTGCCCTTGGGCATATACAAATATAGACACACAGACACATACACATACACACACAAACACATGTGGAGGAGGACCACTAAGTTTTTAGTTTTCTTTTTTTTTAAGAGTTTTTTTTTCTTTTAAAGATGTATTTATTTTATGCATGAGTGTTTGCACACACACACACACACACACGTTTGTGTACTATATGTGTGCCTGGTGCCTGGTGCCTGTGGTAGTCAGAAGAGAGCATCAGATACCCTGGAACTGGAGTTACAGATAGTTGTGAGCCACGATGCGTGTGCTGGGAACCAAATTCAAGTCATCTATAAGAACAAGTGCTTTTAAGTACTGAGCCCTCTCTCCAGCCTCCCTTTTTAATTGGTCCATTATTACATTATATTTATGGGCTATGCTGTGACAGCTTGGTACTTGGGTATAATATGTGGTAGCATCTCCACCTCTTAAATATTCAGCATTTCAGTTCTGGGAGCCTTTGGACTCCTTGGTTCTAGTTTGTAAGCTATGTAGTAAATTGCCACACATTATGTTTTCATTCTACTGACTGATAGAACAATAGACCTCGCTTCTGCAGGCTGGCTGCATTTTATAACATGTCATCCAGCCTCCAGCTGTCCTTCTCATTCCCTCTAGGTATCCAGCCTTTGTCATCCAACTTTTTGTTCCATTGGGATTAAACTTTTCAACCTGTCATATGTACCTGAGAATATGCAGTGCTTTGTTTTGTTTTGTTTTAGAAGTGTTTTTACGTCATAGACATGCCTCTGTCTTCTCCTTTATGGAGACAGTGAAAGAGTTACCATAAAGAATCATTTGTTAAACTAATCTGTGTTTCCATAGTCCACTGTGGCCTTCTGTGTTGAACTCAGGCCACTCAATGGCCCTTTTGTCAAGGTGATTAAAATGTAACTTTGCCTGCCAAAAAATGGCACTCCTCTGGCTTAAAAGTTATCCTTCTTTGTTATGAGTGTTTACATTTTTGTATTATGTTATAAAAACATTCTTTAGATGACCTAAATCTTTCCATGGCTTACCATCTCTCTCAGAACGCGGCAGGACAAAGTCCTCTCAAAACTTTCTGAAAGGCTAAGTTAGTGATCAGAACTTCAGTTCTGTTCTCTCTGCCTCTTGTTCACATCCACACTGGCTTCTTTCTGTGCTGTGTAAATACTTAGTGTGAGGCCCCTTGCACTTACTGTCCTTGTTCATGGAAAGCATGTCCCTGGGTTCTCTGCATGGCCATCACCCTCATGTTCCACGGATCCCTTTATCACAGAATTCTTCTCTGAGTCTGTTGTATTAAGCCGCAAACAAATCCCGCTTCTATACATCACCCCCCCCCCCCCCCCCCCCCCATTTCTTACCCTGCGTTGCTTTTCTTCACAGCGTTTATCCTCTGTTTTGGTACTGCTACACAGCCCAACAGTGCCGATAGGCAGGGCGTGTTCGGTGGATGCTGGCTAAGTGTGTGTATGAGAATACTTGTAGGAGATTTGTAAACGGAGGTGTCCTTACTTCTCTCCCTAGCAGAGTCACCTGACATGAAAAAAGAGCAAGAGCATCCTGTGAAGTCCCACACCAAAAAACACAGTGAGTTCCCTGGCAATGCCGCTTCTGTCTCCATTCCTTTACCTCTAAGTGGGACTTATTTTCTATCATGTGACTGTTTCTGAAAGTGGGTCTTCCTGGGCATTTTTTTTTTCTCATCTTTGTTTCTCTAAAACTAGGACACCAAGTAAATAATAACTTGTGGGCAGAAGGTTAATTTTTTTCCTTTGTCTAGGAAAAACAAAACAAAACAAAACAAACCAACAGGGTGGGCGAGAAGTGAAATGGAAAGGAATGGCTGAGGTGCATCACTCTCTCTTGTCCTAAGAAATGACTTTGTTCTGAAGACTCAACTCTGCTCCCTGGAACTTGGATTTTTCCTCAGGGATAAAACCTTATGAACATATATGTACTATCAGAGACATAGGATAGAGGGGGCACAGAGAACTATCAGGATTTTACAATTTAGAGAGGACAGAGACTTGGGATGTCCTTACTCTCTGTTCCTCTGGCTTATTCCATCAAGGGGACTCATACAGTCCCTTGAGTGGCATGTGGAGGGGCGATTTTACTTCTTCTGGAAGTAAAATTAAATTCCAAAAGCTGTTTAGTTTTTAAGTTGGTGACCTCTGTGTGATAGCCCTCTTTACCCAACATGCTCTTGGAGTTAAGACTCTAGTGTTCCAGTGATATCATTTGGCTGAAGGACAGTGTGGGGCCTGAGTCACTTAAATAAGTGAGGTGTTAGGTAAATGGCTGAAGCCAATTGTGTCACATTGGTTAAATCAGTGAAATTCCCCATTTCCTGACTACTTGGTGGTTCTGTATCTCAAGGAAGAAGCTGTAAGTCCACAGTCTGTCTTCCTCCCATTCTCTAATTTGAGTCATTACTAAGCCATTATGTCTTGCTTTTCATCAGACCCAAGAGGCACTCACTTATGGGAGTTCATCCGAGACATTCTCCTGAGCCCAGACAAGAACCCAGGTCTGATCAAATGGGAAGACCGTTCAGAAGGCATCTTCAGGTTCCTCAAGTCAGAGGCTGTGGCTCAGCTGTGGGGGAAAAAGAAAAACAACAGCAGTATGACCTATGAGAAGCTCAGTCGGGCCATGAGGTGAGCAAATTCACAGTCTTCCATGAGCAGAGGTGCCTTGGCATTGCTCAGGCCGAATGGCCACCTTACCTATTTCCTTCTTATAGATACTACTACAAACGAGAAATCCTGGAGCGTGTGGATGGGCGACGGCTGGTCTACAAGTTTGGGAAGAATGCTCGCGGATGGAGAGAAAATGAGAACTGAGGCTGCTAACCCTTGGGACACAAACCAGAACACAGCGAATGGATTATGATCAATGAAGAACTGGAAGTAAATATTTCAAAGACTTCTTTTCTGTGATATTTATGTACCATGAAGGGACAAAAAAAAAAAGTCTACTTCTGAAGGGAAGAAGGAACACTACAGATGATAAAATATTATTTTGTTACTTTGAAGTATGTCCTATGTGGGGAACAAATGTACACAGTTTTCTGTGAACTATGAAGCTGGACATGGTATGATTTGCTGTTGCCTCTGTTGTGACGTTCTTTCCTACCCTGAGAACAGCAGGGCCTGTAGCCTTGTGCTTCTTGCCTAGAGGAAGGGATAAGAATTGAGGGCATTAAATGTTTTCAAAATGTAAAATGATTTAGAAAAAAAAAAAAGGTGATGTGTTCTCTGCACATAAGCATCCATATGACCCCCTCAAGAGAACTGGGGTTGGTTGGTAGGACAGAGTTCAGGGTCTTAGATTTAAGGGATCAACCCAAAGGATGCTGGGAAGTTTAACTTGACCTAGGCGACTGTGAGTAGAGAATGGAAACTTCGACAATCCAGACTGGCCTGTAATCACTGCATTATCACATGACTGAGAATGTTTAAATAAATTAGAATGATGGTGGAAGAGGTTCACCCTCATTCATGGATGATTTTCCTGTACCCCCTTTACACTTGGATGGTCTGTTAAAAAAGTCATTTGCCACATGTGGTCATTTCATCCCTAATATTGAAAAATAAGTGAGAAAAGGAGGTGGTGGTATAGGAATGAGCATGCTCTTCTATCTCTGTCATTCAAGGTTTCTCCATGGGTACAGCTGACATTTGGGACTGGGTCTTTGTGGTGAGGATTGCCATGCACATCGTGAAATGTGTAGCAATAGCCATGGCCTCCAACAGCATTTTGTAACTGAGAAAATCCAGAAGTATAACTAGAAATTGTCCAATGTCTCTGGAAGGACAAGAGTACCCTTGAGTGAGAACCACTGATTAGACCAGTCAATATAAAGACAGTCCTCCTGTCACAGAGCAAAGAGGTTTGTAGAATCTTCTAGTCCCTAGAGTAAAGAAAAGACAAGGCATTCAAGTCAATATATTTTTTTAAATATTAGGGACAACAGGATGAGATAGATGGAGGAGATTCTTTTCAGAGTTCTGCTTGAGGGGCAAAGTCAGATAAATGCGGTGAGAAGTACAAAAGATTTTGCACTGGGAATGTAGATAAGCAGAAGGAAATGCTGAGGGAAGAATCTGTGGATGTTCCTCTATGTGCTCTGTCTCTGTCTCTGTCTGTCTGTCTGTCTCTCTCTCTCTTTCTCTCTCTCTCTCGAGAGATAAGAAGTTACTCGAGGCATCTTCCAGTTTTCTCTCTCCTGTTCCTTCTCTGGTTTTCCCTGGCCTTTGTCTAGGATGATCAGGCCTTTCTCTGGGTCCGCCCTTCCTCAAGACTGTGTTTCTCTTATTCCTGTAACTGGCTTTGGCTTTTGCTACAGCTACTTCATCATAGAGCTCTCTTTGTCAGAAAGTAGATGAATCTGGAGAGGACTGGTGGGAACAGTTCTTCAGATAAATAGATTGTGCTGTTTGCTGAGAGTGGCAGTTTCTTGGCACCCAGTCCCATTTAAATAGGCTGGAGTACTAAGCTCTCTGCATATCTATTGTCTTGGCTTGAATTTGCTGTGTTTTCTATCTGCTATTCGTGACTTGGAAAACTCCAGGTAATGAAGCTATGCCAGTTTGGGGTGTAGCAATGTGCTTTCCACCACAGTCTGACAGAAATGAGAGCATCCTACAGAGCATCCTCTTCTTTAGGGAGTAGTCACTTAGTTGATAAGAGATTAGTTGGCCACAGGATCACTAAGTCTCCTTGAATATTCCTAAGTGTTGTATTAGTGGTTTCCATGGGAACCTAAGTCAAGTAATGGACCATTAATTCTTCAAAAGACTAAGATCATCTAAGGCTGCTATATGACTTGATGAAATCAAGCAAGGCCCTGGGTCCCAGGGATAGGTCCACAGCTTCTTCAGTCTGTTGCCTGAGCAAGGTAGACCCAGCCCATGAGTTGTCATCCACTGAGCCTTTCTTCAAGCACCCATCTGATTAGACTGTAAGCTCTCCGAGGGCAGGGATCATGTCTGATCACTTTCGGTATCCTCATACCGGGGATGCAACAGGATAACTATTCATTGAATGAATGATGACCATCTTCTGGGAGAATCCTGTGACTGGGAAGCCATCTGTCATACTCATAACTGGCATGTGAATCATTTCTCCAGGAACAGAAGACAATAACCAAACCTTCCAGGACATATCCTCTCTGACGAGCATTTTACTGTGACACTCTCTTTTGTCTTCTATCTGTGCTGAAAAGAAATTCAAACAGGCTAGTTGGTTCCACATATCAGCGTCTGCTGGACAAGAATTCTGTTGCTTTCTAGAACTGTGAGACTTAACCTGGTTACACAATGCCAGTAATGAATTCTTGACCTATTTAATCAATGAAGATTATAAATGTGTTTATATAATGTCAATTGCTATTTAAGCATAAAACTATTTTCAGTTTTAGTATTTAGGGGTTGGTTTTTATTTTTTATTTTTTTCTGTTTGAAAAAAGTGCTGAGGGGTATTTTGATAAGGTTAGTCATGCATGTTAGATCCTAATTTTGAAAGTGTGTCTTTTTTAATGCATAAGATATCAGAAAAGGGAAAACAGTAAGAGGGAGAAGCGATTACATTATTTTTTGTGTAGTTTAAATAAAGCACCTACTGGGTGCCCCATGCCTAGTGGAGCGCTGTACATGTGAGGAGTGTGTGTGTGAGAATATGGTCTGTGGGCTCAGGCATTAAAGGCTGGGCTCACAACCAAAAATATAAGAGAGTATAGGCTGTGAAAGACACCTGATCTGGACCTATGGAGAAATAATGACTAAAAGAATGAACTGCCATCGTGGCAGTCTTAGTGTCATGGGTGAATTAACCTCAACTGTGAGGCTCAAGATTCAGTTTCTGGAATAAGGAAGACCGTTCAGAAAAACCAAACTTCTTGGAGCTATGTCTCACAAATTTCTGAAACACGTAGGCTTCAGGGCTTAGCTGAATTGAGAGTAATCATTCTGTAGCTGTCTGTATGAATTTTATTCTTCTTGCCATTTGGCTTTCGGGTTGATAATTAGTGGGCGACAACCCTACTGCCACTGTTTAAAAAAAAAAAAAATCAGAACCTTCCCCCTTAACTGTTAAATCCAAACAGTTTCTGTTTAATGAAAGCATTCTATTTTTCAAAAGTATGTTTTTATTTGTTTGTTTGATGGGTCCCAGAAAACACTAATAAAAACCACAGAGGTCATGCTGGAGATGTGTTTCCTTCTTTGGGATAAGCCATCCTACAAACTAAATGTGGTAGCAGAACATGCACAGCTTCAGCATCTGGTTAGGGTTTTTTTTTTAGATTTATTTATTTAGTGTGTATGTGTGCGTGCCAGTTTGTCTGTATGTACGCTATCTGTGCAGGGGTCCTTGGAGACCCGAAGAGGTGTCATGTCCCGCGAAGCTGTAATTACAGCAGGCAGTTGTGGGCTGGCCAATGTGGCTGCTGGGAACCAAACCCAGATCCTCAACAAAACATCAAACACTCTTAACTGCTGAGCCATCTTCCCAGCCCCCCCCCCCCCTTGTTGGCGTTTGTCTCTTCTGTGCCAGACATGGATCAGGAAACAGACAGAGGCACTCTGCTCTAATGTCGCTGTATGTTCTGTCAGGTGGAAACCGATAAGGATAATCAAGCCCAGCAGATCAGAAGTGCGGAGCAAGGAAGAGGATCGGAGAGGAGGTTGAGGTGTCTTGCTAGTTTAGGGAGAGTTGAAAAGAAAACATTTCAGCCAAGGACTAACAGCTGTAAGAGAAGGAGCGTTAGATAGGTGGAGGGGTGTGCTGTCCCAAACAGCCTGCAAGTGCAAAGGCCCGGAGGTGGGCATGTTACGGCCACAGCTAATGAACAGCAAAGAAATCACTTTGCAGAAATAGACTGTCAGTGGTTGGACGTGATAAAAGAGAAGCACGGGCAGGGAATACAGAGAACAGAGCTCCTGTAGGCACACACGAAGGTCTAATCTTTGCTTTGCGTGGGATTGGGGGGTTCAAAGGATAGTATGCTTCAACTCTTGGCTCAAATGACCGGTAGGAAAGCATTTAGTGCCAGGTGCACATTCTTGGTTGGATGTAGCTTCCTGTTTCATCCTGGTTTCCAATACAATGTCCATAAATATTTTCAATAACTGAACCCTGCTAGGTTATGGCACCCTTTTCTTTGGACTCGCATTCTGTCACTCAGTCACCTGACCCTACACACGTATAATGAAAATAGTAGTTAATGGTTTGGGGGGGGGCAATTCACCAGGTACAGAGAACTGTGATAGGCTCTTACTCATATTGTGTTTAACTCTCGTGCAAGCTGGTGATATATTAATTCATTTTATTGAATGCAATAGTGAAAAGGTTAACTGACTTTCTCAGAGTCACAAGCTAGTAATGAGTCTGATTGAAGTCCAAGCCCTCACCCTGTTTCTCTAGTTTTCCCAGATGCTAAGGTTACAAACACACACACACACACACACACACACACACACACACACACACCCCTTTTTTAAAGCACTTTAGAATTTCTAAGTTAAATCATGTTTTCCAGATCTGCATGCTATAGGATGTCTTAGGAGTCTTTATTGTGTTGGTATATACCGTGGATCTACAGGAGAAACAGAAAGTGCAGCCATTTCCCATGCTCATTTGGGACAGACCATGTCCATCAAAGAAGACCTCATGACTCAATTTTGAATTCTTAATTAAGTAATGACTTCTGAGACATGGGTGAGGTGATCTTTTCACGATCTGGCCAGATAACTATGCTGATATATTTTCATTTGCCAATTCAGCCAACTTTAAGTCTGATCCTTGGTTCCTTCCTTTCTTTCTTCTTTCTTCAGAAGAAATTTCTCAGCAAGTGACCTGTGCATTCCTTAATTGTGGGATTGCATCTCAGTAATTTTTCAGGAACCATTTTACTCTCTAGAACTATCTATGTAAAACTACTCACATTAGCTAAGATTCAATAAAGTAAGCATTTAGTTCCATATATTGTCCACCTTTCGTGAGCTGAATAGCCACAGGTAGCTAGCAGCCTGTGCAGTGGACAGACAGGATATACACAGAGCCATCAGTGGAGAAGAGTCCATTGAGCCCACTAGAATC